TTATGCTTTGAAATGTACATAAACAGTTGTTTATTCTTATAGCTGCTGTTTGCCTCCAATACATATTCTTTATTATTCGTAGATCTTTCCCATCAATGTTTAATTTTTCTAACAGTTTGTTTACTTCTTCATGCTTCACACAGTCAAATGCTTTTCTATAGTCTATGAAGCATAATTACAAATCAGTCTTTACTTCTATATCTCTTTTTGACAATGTCCTTAGGATGTATATGGCATTGTTTGTACCTTTTCCTTCTACAAATCCACATTGTTCATCGCTGATTTCTGGTTCTATTTTGTTTCTTATTCTTCTCATAATTATTCTCAGTAAAATCTTAGTCGTGTGACTCATAAGACTTATTGTGCGATGGTCTTCATGTTTTAAAGTGCCTGGTTTCTTTGGCAGAGCTATAAATATGGATTTTTAAAAGTCATTTGGAATATACCCACTATTATAAATATCATTTAAAAGTTTAGTTATTATTTCAATTCCAAAATCTCCCAGTGCTTCGATTTCTTCCAGTGAGATGTTGTCTGGCCCGGGTGCTTTTCCTTTCTTCATATGATGTATTGCATCCTCAACTTCTGCAGTCATTGGTGGACCATCATTGTTGGTTTGCAGTTCTACATCTGGTCTATTATCATCATACAATTAACCTATATACTCTGTCCATCTGTTAATTATATTACTATGTCCAAATAATAAGTCACCCTCTTTTGATTTTAAACATCCAGTGCTTCGATTTCTTCCAGTGAGATGTTGTCTGGCCCGGGTGCTTTTCCTTTCTTCATATGATGTATTGCATTCTCAACTTCTGCAGTCATTACTTTATATATATATATATATATATATATATATATATATATATATATATATATATATATATATATATATATATATATATATATATATATATATTTTTTTTTTTTTTTTTTTTTTTTTTTTTAAATCTTGACTCTGAACATAACTCTGTGGTCAACTGGCAAGCTGCTCGCCACTACACTAATGCACGCATACAGTAAGGGAAAGGGCCATGTTAAACAGAATGGGGTCTGAGAGAATGGTGATGGAGAGTACAGTTCCCAGAAACTGAGCCAGGTGCAGACCTCCTTGAAGGTGGATTCAAGACAGGGAAGATGAAAACATGTAGGGCTGGAGAATTGGCTAGAGAAAGAGACACTTTCAGGCTTACCGTGATGAAAGTCATGTTCTGTAAAGGACTTGATGGTTGATGACAAATTATTCCCAGTATTCCTTCTAATTATCTCAGTTTCAGGATCTCCATAATGAAATGTCAAACAGTTTCAGGATCTCCATAATGAAATGTCAAACAGTTTCAGGATCTCCATAATAAAGTGTAAAAAGTTTCAGGATCTCCATGATAAAGTGCCAAACAGTTTCAGGATCTCCATGATTAAATGCCAAACAGTTTCAGGATTTCCATGATAAAGTGCCAAACAGTTTCAGGATTTCCATGATAAAGTGCCAAACAGTTTCAGGATTTCCATGATAAAGTGCCAAACAGTTTCAGGATCTCCATAATGAAGTGCCAAACAGTTTCAGGATTTCCATAATGAAGTGCCAAACAGTTTCAGGATTTCCATAATAAAGTGCCAAACAGTTTCAGGATTTCCTTGATAAAGTGCCAAACAGTTTCAGGATTTCCTTGATAAAGTGCCAAACAGTTTCAGGATTTCCATGATAAAGTGCCAAACAGTTTCAGGATTTTCATAATGAAGTGCCAAACAGTTTCAGGATCTCCATGATAAAGTGCCAAACAGTTTCAGGATTTCCATAATAAAGTGCCAAACAGTTTCAGGATTTCCTTGATAAAGTGCCAAACAGTTTCAGGATTTCCTTGATAAAGTGCCAAACAGTTTCAGGATTTCCATGATAAAGTGCCAAACAGTTTCAGGATTTTCATAATGAAGTGCCAAACAGTTTCAGGATCTCCATGATAAAGTGCCAAACAGTTTCAGGATCTCCATTATGAAGTGCCAAACAGTTTCAGGATTTCCATGATAAAGTGCCAAACAGTTTCAGGATCTCCATGGTGAAGTGCCAAACTGTTTCAGGATCTCCATTGTGAAGTGCCAAACTGTTTCATCATCTCCATGGTGAAGTGCCAAACTGTTTCATCATCTCCATGGTGAAGTGCCAAACAGTTAAAGATCATGGGTTAAATTTAGTACTACATTTACATTGTTTAGTTCCCGAAGGTTCTTTTATCTTTAGATCTCTGGGAATCATTGGAACTGCCACATTCATGTGTGATGTTTTTTGCATTCAGCAAACCATTTCATTGAGAGAGATCAAGCCATATGGGATCAGATCTGATGCAGTCAAGTTGATTGTAATCACCATGCCAGTCCACCCAACATATAAAACCTTCTACCAGTCTATCTAGCCCCTGAAACCAGAATTCTGGAATCTGATCTCTTTTCATTCTTGTTTAAACAGTTAGGTGAATTCTGAGAACTGATCTCTCCGTATTTTTATATATACAGCATCATTCTTCTACAAATGTTGCATTTCCAACATGGTCACACAAACACGAACAAGTCATTTCAGTCAACTATTGTCAACTTAAGGATAATTTTTGTTTCAACATAACATTTGGTGTGTGTATTTCAGGATAGGTCCAGTTGAGTACAACTTAATAGAATGCCCAAAAGCCAACAGCTTGCTTCTGTGGCACAGAACCAGTTAGGTCCTTGTCATGAGAAGGATGAGGTGGCTTTGCTGAGAAAGTAAGTTCTGAAATATAAAAACTCCCATGTGAGTTCCATGGCTCCATTTTGAGGTAGAAAAAGAACACGTCCACAGCTTCCTAACAAGCATGTCATAAAAGGCAACTAATTAGGATTTACTGAAAGTGGATGTTTAGGGCTGAATTGCACAGACAAGGCCTAGCTATAAAAACGCAGGGTTTTTCTTTTGGCGATATGCAATGGTTCACAGTACTGGTATTTTGTTAGGCATGATTCCTTTAGCGCTATGGTAATAGACATTTTGTGGTGAGTACCGGCACCTTTCAGAACACTTTGTGGTAAGAACCTGACTTGTGTTTTTTCTAGAAACAAAGCCAAAACACAGTGTTCCAGTCACCCCTTTCCTCTTCTTCTTAGCACTCTCTAGTGGAAAGTTCTGGTTGTTTGTCCATTACTGGACTCTGGTCTTGATCCAGAACTTGAGTTTTGCGTGCACATCCATTTTACTTATTTGTATGCAGACTGCTGGTTCTCTGCCTCTCAGGCAGGTGCACTCAGACATTGAAGGAAACAGCCCTAGTTAGTTGCCTCCTAGGACATGCTTGTTAGAGGGTCTATGGGTCTGTTCATTGTTCCCCAAACTGGAGCCTCAGAACCCACATGGAGAAGTCACCCTTTACAGATCAGATACAAATTAAGGAGACAAAACATGGAAACATTTAAATCATGGCTATTCGGCAAACTTGACTCAGGCACCAAATGTTGAAAATGGGGATTGTCATGGTCTAGAGACTTGAGCCCCAGCACTGTTGACAATGATCCCTGGGCCAGTTGCTAGGTGTCTCCAGGCCAGATTCAGTCATGAACCACCAGTTGAATAGCCTTGACTTAAATGATACATTGCACCATTTACCTGCCACTGTGCTGAGCAAGCAGTAAGACAACAGTCAATGCTGCCTGTCTAGCCACTGGTGTATTGGGCTTATCGTGCTGAGGCCTTGTGTATATACGTCACTTGGCATTCTGTAGATAACGTGGATAATAATTTACCTAAATTAAAAACCTTGGAAGCCGTGAAGATGTGGTTTCTGAAACACATGCTGGGGATACCATCAAGGAAGAGTAACTAACAACCACTGCCTGCAAGTGGTTGATGAAATAAGATAACTTTGAGAAAGACGCATTCTGTGTTCCACTAGAAGTTGGCCTTGTTCCAGACTCAAGTTTGCTTGCACATCAGTTTTACAGATCTGATTTATTTTTATGCAGGCTGTTGGTTCCTCACATCTTGCACAGATGCACTCCGACTTTGAAGGAAAACTCCTAATGAGTCAGTTCCTATGCCTCTTAGGTCACGCTTGTTAGGGCTATTTGGGGCTTGACATAATGCATGCTTTTGGAGATCACAGGTTGCAAGAGGCATGATTCCCTCACACCAGTCGACAAGACACTTGATGATGACACCATGGGTTGAAAGATTGACCCAACCTTATGAAATGAGTATTGGATAATTTCTAATAATCAGCTAATTATGCACCAGTGCTCAGTCATAGATAGCCAGTTCATTATTTTGTCTGTCACTAACAGACACATTTTAAATATATTGTGCTTATTCTTCCTATATCCTTTATCCCCCCCAGTGGAGCATAGGCCCTCGGCCAACTATTCATCCTATCATGGCTGTCGCCTGTGGCTAACTTCATGTCTTTTTTCCGTCTTTTTTCCCCCACCTCACACACTGTCTTCTCCATATGTGTTTTTAAATCTGCCTTTATTCCTTTGTCCATGTTGGTTCCAAGGACATTTTGGTTGTATTGTTATTAGTTTTTCTCAGTGTCTTTTATATCTAACTCTAGTGTCTTTTCTATCTAACTCTAGTGTCTTTTCTATCTAATGCTAGTGTCTTTTCTATCTAACCCTAGTGTCTTTTCTATCTAATGCTAGTGTCTTTTCTATCTAACTCTAGTGTCTTTTCTATCTAATGCTAGTGTCTTTTCTATCTAACTCTAGTGTCTTTTCTATCTAATGCTAGTGTCTTTTCTATCTAACTCTAGTGTCTTTTCTATCTAATGCTAGTGTCTTTTCTATCTAACTTAGTGTCTTTTCTATCTAATGCTAGTGTCTTTTCTATCTAACTCTAGTGTCTTTTCTATCTAATGCTAGTGTCTTTTCTATCTAACTCTAGTGTCTTTTCTATCTAACTCTAGTGTCTTTTCTATCTAATGCTAGTGTCTTTTTTTTATCTAACTCTAGTGTCTTTTCTATCATCCTACTGGCAGTCAACAGAGGAGCACAGATGCATCTAATCGTCACCGTCCACACATCTTAGATGCGAGACAGGATATGGAACTAGGTGCTTCATATGGCTTAGCTTCTGGTCAGGCTGTAGCCAATGGAGATCACCCGCTGGTGAATGGGACTGAGCATAGCTCTCAGGTCATCACTGGTGACAGTCATGGCTGCCACTTATCAAGGTAGGATTACTGTACATTTTATTTCGGTACTGCTATTAGGAGCTTTGATTTGAAATCCCCTTCGTGCTACACCACATGCAACTCTGTGTGTTTTAGATCATTATGCGAAGTTCATGTGATAAATCCGACCAGTCAATTAAAGAAGCACATGTTTATCATCCTATGGTGCATACGTTCTGTTTCTGACTGGTCCTTATCTATATAATCCCTGTATGGGTTCCAGGGCCCTGTTAAAAGGAAGACAAGAATAGACCCACTGCCTACCCAAAAGCATGTCGTAAGAGTCGACTAATTGAGAGCTTCCTCCAAAGTCAGAGTGCAACTTCCTGAGAGGCAAGAAACTAACAGTCGGCATACATAGTTAGATCTGTCAAACAGATGCACACGCAACACTCAAGTTCTGGAACAGGACTGCAGTCCAGAAGTGGACGAACAACCAAAACTTTCCGCCAGAGCTTACAGCTGGTCAACGCAAAGAAGAAGAATATATATATATATATATATATATATATTGGGAGTCACTGTGGTGTTGGCGGCTAGATGCCTGTAGACACCTGCCTGCAGATCGGAAGGTCGTAGCATGGGTTATAGCCTGACAAGTTTTGCTAGCACATCCGTTTTACAGATCTGATTTATCCGCCCTCCTCCACCATAATTACTTGCTGACAGTGGTATTAAAACCCGAACCTGTGCCACCAAAAAATAAACGAAACAATATGGTTTTTTAATGCAATGAACAGTTTTTAGCATTATGAAATAATATCTGCAGATATAAATTTATCAAGTTCTCAAACTTTCCTGTGTGAGTTCTGGGGTTCCATTGTTAGGAAAACACAGATAGACCTACTGCCTCCCCAACAAGCATGTCATAGAAGTCAACTAATAGGGGTTTCCTTCGGAGATTGACAGCCCAAGCAGCAGGGAACAACCAGCTGCACATCAATAAGCAGTAAAACGGATGTACACGCAAAACCCAGGCCCTGGCACAAAACCAAAGTCCAAATGGGTGAACAACTAGCACTTTCCTTGGGAGCTTACAACCAGTGACACTGAGAAAAAGATGTTTTCAAACTCATTGCTGGATTTTTATAAGAAGTGACAGTTTGCCATTTTTCAAGTACTGATGGGACGGCTGGTGCGCACCTAAAAAGAATGGGAATGTTTCTGTGAAAATGGGACGTAAGGTCGCCCTACTGAATTATAACTGGAAGTTTGTCTCAACATTTACTTTTTTGTTATGGGGGTAAGCATTTTTGTTTGTTTTGTTTAGCAGCAACAGCTTTGGCTGTGATTGGACAGAAGCTGACCTAAGAAAGAACCCTGGGCGGTACTCCAACAGGCAAGCCCAGTCAGAGGTGATTTTACCAAGTGAAGTCCAGAGAAGGATGACCTTGGCCAATGTCAAAGAAAAGGGTTATGCTCGACTTTTGACGGAACTGATGAAAGCACAGAAGGTAAGCAGGGCTTTGGTTCTGGTAGTACATAGTGATATGCAGTAGAAACAAATTTTTTTATTTTGACATTTTTTCAGCGCTACTGTAATAAACATTTTGTGGTGAGCACTGGCACCTTTTTTTTTTTGGACACTTTATGATAAATAACAAGCTGCACCTATCTTTTTGTTTTAAAAAAAAACACATGAAGATAAATAACTCTAAATGAAAATAAGAATATTTCTCATTATTGATAGGCAATTTGTCTTAGTTGAATTTTCGTATAGTTTAAGCTCTAAATTTTGCAAGATTTTTCTGGGTAATAAAAAAAATGTTCATCTTATCTAATCTGTTATCCTCTCGTTTTAGCGATGTCGAGGTGAGGTATACATAACAGAATAGTGCCTGTTTGTGTGCTTGATATGATATCATCCTTTTGTGCTGAACTTGGCAGTTGCATGCACATCTGCTTTACAGATCTGACTTATTTGTCTGCATAGAAGGATATAAAACCGAACAAAAAAGTAGATTAACGAGCTTTACAATATTACAAACACAAACGAGAAGTAAACGTTGTGGCTATAGAGCTTTTATCAGTACATACATAAATTACACAAAATCACCTAACTGACTTATCCTGAAGCAGCTACGTTGATGTCTAACCAGTGGGATGGAGACGCATGTAGCCAAAGGCCAAATAGCCCACCAGGAATGCTAAGGGTCATAACTCGAGAATTTTATAGAAAACTGATGACAGTTCAGTCTCCTGGGTTTGAATCCCCAAGGTGAAAATAAAACGATTCTAAAGAGACTTGCTGACTCTCACTGGAGTGGCGAGATGTATTGGCTATCACTTCTATGTCGTGGGCACCTTGGTGATCCTGAGAATTTAAATGCACATCTAAAATATGTCTACGTAGAATTATCAAAATTTTCTGGCCAGATACAATCTCAAACACTAAACTACTTCAAGCCACAAACCAAGAAACTTCAGACAGTATGATTACCAAGAGAAGATGGAAATGGCTTGGCCACGTTATGAGAAGGACTTCTGATATACCTGCCAAAACAGCTCTCACATGGACACCAGAGGGAAAGAGAAAACAGGGGCGCCCAAAAACAACATGGAGATGAACGATGGAAAGTGACCTGAGTGCGGCATCTTTGACATAAAAAAACTGCACTGAAGATTGCACAGGACAGGAAAGCATGGAAAGACCTTTCTGAAGCCTCATGTGCCACTAGGCATAACGAGAACTGATGACTGAGATGAAAGTATGTCTGAAATATATTTATTTGTATGCAGACTTGTCGGTTCCTTGCCTCTCGGGCAGATGCACTCCAGCTTTGATTAATCATTATGTTTGTTAGCGAGGCAGTGGGACTGTTCTTCTTCCCCAGAATTCACTTGGTGATTTATAATGTTGAGTGTTTGTGGTCTCAGATGTTTGTGCGGTTGCCACTAATAATTCCTCTGCTACCTAACAGGAGCTGGAGTTGAAAGATGAAGAGGTGGATGAGCTGAGAGGGATCAGGGAGAGGTTGATGAAGGAAGTCAGTGACTTCACGGCTGCTCTATTTGAGGTGAGCACATTGTCTTTGCATGTTGACTTTATCTCTTTAATTTTAGATGCTAGAGCTGAAGTGGCATAGTACTTAGCCAGAACCCTGCTAAGACAGGGGTCTGAGTTCAAAAAGCTAGATTGTATGTTGTTTTTTTTTTACCAGGAATGTTGTAATTTTGGCAAAGCCTCATGCAAAGTTTTTAACATAAGATGTTCAGAATTTAAACAAACCCTTAATTAGTCACTTTCAATTCTTGTTTTTTCCCCTCAAAATGGTGAGCTGTAACCCGCATATGAGGGACACCTTGTAACCTACATAAGAGGGACACCTTGTAACCCACATAGGAGGGACACCTTGTAACCCACATAGGAGAGACACCTTGTAACCCACGTAGGAGAGACACCTTGTAACCCACGTAGGAGAGACACCTTGTAACTCACATAGGAGAGACACCTTGTAACCCACATAGGAGGGACACATTGTAACCCACATAGGAGAGACACCTTGTAACCCACATAGGAGGCACACCTTGTAACCACATAGGAGAGACACCTTGTAACCCACATAGGAGAGACACCTTGTAACTCACATAGGAGAGAGACCTTGTAACCCACATAGGAGAGACACCTTGTAACCCACATAGGAGGGACACCTTGTAACCCATATAGGAGAGACACCTTGTAACCCACATAGGAGGGACACCTTGTAACCCACATAGGAGGGACACCTTGTAACTGACATAGGAGGGACACCTTGTAACCCACACAGGAAGAGATTTTAGCTGCAAAATGCACCCTTATTGACAAGCCTGTTTCTGTTATGTTTATTCAATGGATCAACATCATGGCACATGAGTGTAACCCATAAGTGCTCTGTTCTACTTCTAACTCAAGCCTGAGTCTGAAGAATCTCAGCGCAGTGCACAAACTCTGTTGCACCGCAAGGATCCTGAAATACTTTGGTGTAACAAATCTACACAGGGTGTGCCGGGAGTAGATGGAGGCTTAGGTTGTACTGTGAGATGACAGACAGAAGTACTCTGGTTTTACTTCACTGGCAGGGTTTGTCTGTCAGTGATAGTGTTTAACTATCACTGATAGGGTTTGACTGTCACTGATAGGGTTTGGCTGTCAACCATAGGGTTTAACTGTCACTGAAAGGGTTTAACTGTCACGGATAGCACGGAAACGTTTGCTTGAATATTTCGTGGCATTTTAACTTGTTCTCTAACAGGAAGTGAACTCACAGTTGAACCAGGCAGCACTCAGTGAGCAGCAAGCGAGGAGACAGTTGAAGGAGGCCAATGAAAAGGTAGGCCATCATTTTGTTCCTTCTGAGTTTGCCTCTTACAAAATTGCGCGGGGGGGGGGGGGGGTTGTATTGTGGAAGAATAACAAGGGCAAGACAAACAAACTTATCTAATAATGTGTGAATGCAGAATTAGGAGTGGATCCAGCAAGGATGGAAGACACAAGGGCAAGATGAACAAACTTGTCTAATAATGTGTGAATGCAGAATTAGGAGTGGGTCCAGCAAGGATGGAAGACACAAGGGCAAGATGAACAAACTTATCTAATAATGTGTGAATGCAGAATTAGGAGTGGATCCAGCAAGGATGGAAGACACAAGGGCAAGATGAACAAACTTATCTAAAAATGTGTGAATGCAGAATTAGGAATGGGTCTAGCAAGGATAGAAGACACAAGGGCAAGATGAACAAACTTATCTAATAATGTGTGAATGCAGAATTAGGAATGGGTCTAGCAAGGATAGAAGACACAAGGGCAAGATGAACAAACTTATCTAATAATGTGTGAATGCAGAATTAGGAGTGGATCCAGCAAGGATGGAAGACACAAGGGCAAGATGAACAAACTTGTCTAATAATGTGTGAATGCAGAATTAGGAGTGGATCCAGCAAGGATGGAAGACACAAGGGCAAGATGAACAAACTTATCTAATAATGTGTGAATGCAGAATTAGGAGTGGATCCAGCAAGGATGGGCATACAAGAGGAAGAGAACAACAGGAGTATAAACATGTTGTGGGAACTGTTAGCATCTGTGGGAGAAAGAGCATCCATGGGTGTGTTTGATGTCAGTTCCTAAATCATTACTCACTTCCTTGGTATCAAAAGAGTTGAATCTTCACACAGGGATGAAAACAAATAGAGGCTTTGTAAATATCCCTACAGGCATTGAAAATTTCAGTCCCAGTTGATCGAAAAGCTGGAAATTATGACTTTATAATAGATTAGTTACTAGAATAAAGTTGAAGTGGAGAGGATCGACTTCATTGCACTAGGTTTTATCCCATGTGGCTCAGTCTCTTACGGCAGAACAGCCAGCTGCCGGCCAAGAGCATCACACAAAATGTGAACTCCGTAGCCTTGGTAATGACCCCCAGAGATCTCAGTACAAATTGCACTCATGAACTGTATGATGTAGCCATGAAACGAACCCAGGACCTTCAGAGCTGGAGGCAAGCTGCTTGACAACTTTGCTCCGACACCCCCCCCCCCCCCCCCCCACATTGAATAAATTAAAAAGTTGAAAGATGTTCATGTTGTAATCACACCATAGAACAATGTTTGTGGAGGGCCAGTCATGACAGAGCACTATCCTGTTTATGATCCGTGCTGGAACAAAAACAATAATCACGCTGATCTGTCAAAGATAAGCAAAGATGCTGCTGGTAGGGTTTTGAGGTGTTGCATATTTTGATTGTGTATGTTTTAATGCTTTTTGTGGAAATGCAAACTTTTATGTTTTGTTATGGATTGTGAAAATGGTAACTTGTATGTAAAGATTAAAAAGATGCTTATATGCTGTATTATGTATTTTATTACAGATTGAGGTTCTTAGTGCCGAAGTGGCAGCACTAAAGAACTTGGTGCTGACCTCGACACCCAGCAGCCCAAACAAACATCTGCACCCACAGATTGACAATTCCAACAAGAAAGAAAAAGGAGGGAAACCATTTTGGAAAACTCATCGACGATCAACTAGCCATCACCAGCTGACCAAGGAGTCCAAAGAAAAGGAAGAAGCCAACGAACATCATTCACTTTTGAAAGAGGTAATATCTCAGTCTTGTGGATGTTTCCCATCTAGGTTGAGGTTAATGTTTGGGGCTGTGCCTTCGTTGTTATTTACCGTACAGGTAGTTACTTAAATTGGCAGAAGCTGTGACTATAAAAGGTAACAATTCCACATTGTGCAGATGAAAAACATGCATGTGATAAATTAGCTTTCTGTGTAATTAAAAAAGACAATGATACGATAAAGAAAATATGACGGACGGTAAACTGTGCAGTATATTGCTCCTGTCCATATTATTTAAATATAATTTTGGAAAACACTGTTTAAAGTTAGTTTATGGGCTGTTTTTATTAGGGTGTGCTTAAAACGTGTATTTAGGTATGAGAAAATGTTTCATATCTAATTCTTTATTTTAATACAATTGGCAGGTGATCCATGGGCTGCTTGCTTGGCCTATGCGGGACAGATTTGGCCTGTGGGCCGCCAGTTGAATAGCACTGAGATAGGGCTAGACCTATATTTTATAGATCAGTTGGCACTGGATGGTTGATGTGCTCACCACCATGCCGACAGCTTTTACTTCCCAGGCTCCACCTGGTACCTGTTCAAGGCTAGGTTGACCTGAGAGCCAAGTTAATTTTTCTTTAAAGTCCGGTACCATCAGGACCCAAATCCACGACCTTCCGATCCGCAGGTGGGCATCTAGCCACTACACCACAGCAGCTCCACCCTGACCTTTAGATCCGCAGGCGGGCATCTAGCCACTACACCACATCAGCTCCACCCTGACCTTTAGATCCGCAGGCAGGCATCTAGCCACTACACCACATCAGCTCCACCCTGACCTTTAGATCCGCAGGCAGGCATCTAGCCACTACACCACAGCAGCTCCACCCTGACCTTTAGATCCGCAGGCGGGCATCTAGCCACTACACCACATCAGCTCCACCCTGACCTTTAGATCCGCAGGCAGGCATCTAGCCACTACACCACAGCAGCTCCACCCTGACCTTTAGATCCGCAGGCGGGCATCTAGCCACTACACCACAGCAGCTCCACCCTGACCTTTAGATCCGCAGGCGGGCATCTAGCCACTACAACACAGCAGCTCCACCCTGATCTTCAGAGCACACTGCAAATAGCTTGACCATTTTGCCACGGAGGAGCCCACCCACCCCTGCTCCCAATTTATCCTAACAACCTGCGTCACCTAGAGGCAGACAGGGGCATAGTGTTATCTGGCAAAGGGTTGATTATAAACCCTTTATCTTTCAAGTTCAAAAACTTTCTCTCACACTTCTTCTGTTGCCCCACTGCTTGTGTGGCAGAGAATTGCTGAGAGGAGCTGTATGTAGTTTTCTATCTTTTGCTAGTTGCATAGCTTGTGTTCATGTCATGTTGTGTTTCTGTGGTGTCACTAGTGTCTCTTTTACTCCCTCCACCCACGTCTTTCTGGGTCGGCCTCTTGCCTTGTAACCTGCTGTTCTCATGTGGTATGCCCTAGTTCTAGCTCACCCACTGTCTCTACTGCCTGCATGTACCACTGTTGAGAGTGATGTGCGTAGAACAAGGAGGTCTTCAGGCTGAGAATTGATGGTTAGGGTTGTGCAGATTAGAATTTTATTGTTTGTCCAGAAAACCCATTACCTTACTGAGGATTCGAACCAAGATCTCTCAAATAAAAGCCCAGCATTTTTAACTGTTTGTTTAGCCTTTCCTCCTCACCTGCATGACAGAAACAAAAATTGTTACAGGTTTTGTAGCAAGTAACGCCATCTGTTACAGGTTTTGTAGCAAGTAATGCCATCTGTTACAGGTTTTGTAGCAAGTAATGCCATCTGTTACAGGTTTTGTAGCAAGTAATGCCATCTGTTACAGGTTTTGTAGCAAGTAACGCCATCTGTTACAGGTTTTGTAGCAAGTAACGCCATCTGTTACAGGTTTTGTAGCAAGTAACGCCATCTGTTACAGGTTTTGTAGCAAGTAAATCTGTTACAGGTTTTGTAGCAAGTAACGCCACCTGTTACAGGTTTTGTAGCAAGTAACGCCACCTGTTACAGGTTTTGTAGCAAGTAACGCCACCTGTTACAGGTTTTGTAGCAAGTAACGCCATCTGTTACAGGTTTTGTAGCAAGTAACGCCATCTGTTACAGGTTTTGTAGCAAGTAACGCCATCTGTTACAGGTTTTGTAGCAAGTAACGCCACCTGTTACAGGTTTTGTAGCAAGTAACGCCACCTGTTACAGGTTTTGTAGCAAGTAACGCCGTCTGTTACAAGTTTTGTAGCAAATAACGCCATCTGTTACAGGTTTTGTAGCAAGTAACGCCATCTGTTACAGGTTTTGTTGCAAGTAACGCTATCTGTTACAGGTTTTGTAGCAAGTAAATCTGTTACAGGTTTTGTAGCAAGTAACGCCACCTGTTACAGGTTTTGTAGCAAGTAACGCCATCTGTTACAGGTTTTGTAGCAAGTAACGCCGTCGGTTTCTCTTTTCAGCTGGACACCATTGCCTTTGAGGAGTTTAAGAGATGGCGTCTGCAGCCAACCATGGAATTTAGTGGCCAGTATTTTTCTAGAGTGCATCAAGAGGATATCCAGCCTTGTTTAAACTTCAAAAATACAAGAGTGAGTTTGTGCGTTGTGAAATAAGCAATGTTTGCATGTCAGAAACAATTGCATGTAAGAAACAGTGCTGTGTTGTGTCAAATAATCAAGGTTGGTGTGTCAGAAACAGTAAATATTGTGTTAGAAACTGTGCTGTGTTGTGTCAAATAATCAAGGCTTTTACTTGTCACAAACTGTGCTGTGTTTTGTCATATAATAAAGGCGTGTCAGAAACTGTGCCATTCAAGGTTTGCATGTTAGAAACTGAAGTGTTGTGCCAAATATGCACAGTTTGCATGGCAGAAACTTTGCTGCATTGTGTTAAATAGTCAAGGTTTGCATGGCAGAAACTGCTGTGTTATGTAAAATAGCCAAGGTTTGGATGTCAGAAACTGCAGTATTGTGTCAAATAGTCAAGGGTGGCATGGGAGATACTGTGCTATATTGTGTCAAATAGTCAAGGGTGGCATGGGAGATACTGTGCTATATTGTGTCAAATAGTCAAGGGTGGCATGGGAGATACTGTGCTATATTGTGTCAAATAGTCAATGTTTGCATTTCAGAAACTGCTGTGTTCTGTAAAATAGTCGAGGTAGGCATGTCAGAAACTGTGCTATATTGTGTCAAAAAGTGGAGGTTTGCATGGCAAAAACTGTGCTATATTGTGTCAAAAAGTCAAGGTTTGCATGACAGAAACTGCTATATTGTGTCAAAAAGTGGAGGTTTGCATGGCAGAAACTGCTATATTGTGTCAAAAAGTCAAGGTTTGCATGGCAGAGACTGTGCCATATTGTGTGGTAGTATTTACTATTAGAATTGAGATAACCAGTTTTCATTTCTTGTTGTCTGTCCCGCTTGCCGACCCGAAAGTCTTTGGTTCAAATCTGCACTAAAATAAAATAAAACAAAAATGTGTTTTGAATTTGGACCTTGACTCCCAGGTCTACTCTAAAAATGGACAATTAAAAATGGGTAACGAGTAATTTCCTGGGAAGTAAAGACGGTTGACATGATGCTGACCACATGACCGAAAGTGCCGATTGGTCAATGAAATATGAGTCTAACTGGTTGCCCCACTGGCGTAAAAAGTATCCTTTCTTTCTCTTTACTCCCCTTTCCTCTGTTTCTTCTTAGCATTCACTGGCTGTTAACTCCAGCAGAAAGTTCTGACTGTTCATCTTCATTTGGACTTTGGTCTTACTGGTTTCACGCCTCTCAGGCAGATGCATTCAGACTTTGAAACAAGCACCCCTAGTTAGTCATCTTCCATGACTTGCGTGTTGGGAGCCACTGTGCCTATTCTTTTTCCCCAGCATGGAATCCACACAAGCAAACTTTGACTACTATGATAGTTGTAGTTTTCATTTCCTTTCTCTGGGAGAGCAGGTAGATTGTTTTATTTCTCAGTGTGGGTGACAAAATAGACTTGGATGCTGGCTTTTCCTCCAGCCTAGATTAATTCTAATTGTATAGGATCAGATCAGATACTAGGACAGCTAACATGGCTTCTCACACATAAGAACATACCTGTGTTTATCGAGCTGATCTTGAAAGGGCAATTTTAGCTCATATTATGTTACGACTGTCAAAATTTGAATCTTAAATTAACTTTATTGCTTTCCACATGTCCAGCTGGCAGAGAAAATACTAGAAGGTGTCCGAGAGAACTCCTTATCAATTGAACCAATCCCTGGAGACCACTCGTATCCCAGGTGAGCTATAAAGGCAGGTTTCACGTATAAGATATTATTAACTTACCGTCATCATTATCATGAAATATTTTAAGTTCTTACAAATATAGTTAGTTATTAATTTTTTTACGGCATGTTGCAGAACTATCCCCAGCATTTTTTGACTATTTGTGTTTTCACTTGGCAATTTTACATTCAGTAGTTTCCCCATTGTTTCTAAATGGTTGGCTGTCAATATTGTTGTTGAAATCAATTCAAGGCCGTCTGCTGTCAGATCACCCACAGCTGGGATCGAACCTGACACCATGGAATTGCGAAGTGCTTTCACAATGCCTATGCCACAAAAGCTGACATTTAAGCTTTTAGGCTGATTGTAAAGTTTCCTAATGATTCCGTGAAGTAGAGCCTTCTCTCTAACCTAACTGTTTTTTAAAAAAAAAGGTTTCACGTAACCGTTTGAAATGTGATTAAATGAAACATTGCTTGAAGTGTGATTGAATGAAACAGTGTTTGAAATGAGTGGGGTCAAAAGGGCAGAATATTGGGCATGTCTGACTCCTCAGTTCTTAACCATTTCAAAGTTAAGTCTTTTCATTCATTTATGAGGAGCGGCTGGTCGAACGGTTAGAACACTGGGCTTTCATGAGGGAGACCCGGGTTTGAATCCTCGGTAAGGCTGGGGATTTTTTTCTGCACAATCGTGGCGACAGCACTAGCCATGCGACCTTAAATCATCAGGTTCAAAAGACCACCATCCTACACCGCAGAAGTGGTATATAAAGGCAGTAATTGGCAGTTTGGCATTCATTCATTTCCCTTCCGTATTTCTCTATATGTGTGCTGCTTTCTGTAATACTTTGTATATCTAGATAGATCTGTGCATGCAGTTTTAGAATGCATATAACCTCTTTCTGTGATGCTTTGCAGCATAAGTAATAGAACAAAAAACATCAGAATACATTTAACTTCTTTCTGTGATGTTTTGTAGCATAAGCAATAAAACAAAAAACATCAGAATACATTTAACTTCTTTCTGTGATGTTTTGTAGCATAAGCAATAAAACAAAAAACATCAGAATACATTTAACTTCTTTCTGCGATGTTTTGTAGCATAAGCAATAAAACAAAAAACATCAGAATACATTTAACTTCTTTCTGCGATGTTTTGTAGCATAAGCAGTAGAACAAAAGACAAAAAACTACATATAACTTCTTTCTGTGATGGTTTGCAGCATAAGCAGTAGAACAAAACAAGAAAATCATGTTGAAGGGGAGACCCATTTTCTGTCATTCATTAAACATGTTGTATGGGAGACCCCTTTGATGAAAATGATCATGTTGGAGGGAAGCTCTGTCTGTCCAGCATCCCTTGCCTTGTTGAACCTGTCTGCAGCAAACCAGTTGTCAAAAATGAGAACCCAATGTAAAAGAAATAAAACAAAGAAAGTTGTTGTTTGGTGTTGTATTGTACCCATATCTGTTTGCCAGGAAGTGCTCCCTGTCTGAGAGTCACAAGTTGTGCAACTACAAGATCAAGTTTGAGGGAGATGACCAGTGGTATTCTATATCACAGATGTCTCGCAACAGGGTCAGTTCTCTGTTTTCATGTTTACTTGATAGGTTTTTTAAATATATTTTTTTAAAGTTTTCTTTATATCTTTACCTATGAGGTGTATTTCTGTTTTCAGTTTTAGTTGACAGGTTTTTTTCATGTTTTCTTTATTTCCTTGCCTTTATATCCTTACCTATAAGACTGTGATGAGAGCGACGTTCTGCAAAGGACCTGCTACATGATGATGATGATGTTTGGTTCACAGTTCTCCTCACCTCCCCTCTCCCCCCCCCCCCCCCCACCACAGCAAATCCCCTTTAAACCTTACTTATGAGGTGAATTTCTGTTTTCAATTTTTTGTTCACAAAATATATAAAAGATATTTAAAAAGGGTAATCACTAAACACAGAGAGTGAAGGATTAAAGAGAATTCATCTCCCTGGGGCCTAAAACACAAGATGTATCAAGTGTCTCATGTCATGACCTCTATCACTGAAGCTGGTTAGCACTTCGGATGGCTGCCATATGCGTTAATGCGAGTGTATGCTAGATATGCTGAGACAGCAGTCTGTCAATCTTTCCACCTGTGATGAACATTCTGGGTGTTTTTCGCTGGCACAGGAGCGGAGCAAAGATGGGGCGACCCGTTTGCTATGAAGCTGAAACTAAGACTACCAGACCAGACCAGACTGAAGCTGGTGGGAAAATTTGACATGAATTTAACTTTTTTTAAAGCGATTAGGGTCATAAGGAAACCAGCCTAAATGCCATTTCTATTCATCATTTTCATGTCCTAGCCTCACAGAACCAATGAAATTAAACTATGCTTTTTGAGAACAGGTCATTCACTTCAGACAGGCCGGCATCTCGGCATAAACAAGATCATGTCACAACTGGAAGTGAGTCTTCCTGGGGGTGAATGAGTTTAAATTCTTTGTCCTGTACTCCTGCTGGAGCGTAGACCACAACCAACTCATGCTGGGTCATCCTGTCGTTTGCTATATCAGGCAGCCCACTATGTGTCTTGCCAGTATTATTCCTTTCTCAAGGGGGGGGGGGGGGGGGGGGGGGCGGGCTAGCGGTGTCGGAAAAAAATTTGCAAATGGGGGGGGGGCTAGTGGTGTCGGAAAAAAATTTGAAAAATTTGCAAATGGTGGGGGGGGGGGGGGGGGGGGGGGGGAGGGGGGGTCCCATTCCTGAGGGAGGTGACAAAATGGCGCAAATATGTGTTTTTAACTTGAAATAAATGTGTGGGGTGACAGGAAATTTTCTGCAGCAGTTACCACTCCATGCACCGACTGTCTATAAAAAGATCGAGAGCACCATATACCCAGTCTAGGATGTAGAGGTATTGAACCACAGGGGGAAGGGGGTGGCTGCTACTGGTCAAGACCTATCTACAGTTTACTGTTGCCATCATAGAAACAGCTTTCCTGCCAGGAGGCTGGCTATCATAGAAATAGATTTCCTGTCAAGAACCTGGCAATCACAAAAACAACTTTCCTGTCAGGAGCCTGGCAATTGCAAAAACAGCTTTCCTGTCAGGAGCCTGGCAATCGCAAAAACAGCTTTCCTGCCAAGAGCCTGGCAATTGCAGAAACAGCTTTCCTGCCAAGAGCCTGGCAATCACAGAAACAGCTTTTCTGTCGGGAGCCTGGCCATCATAGAAAGGATTGACTTTTCCTTGGAAGTTAGAGGGCATCTGCCTGAGAGGTGGGGAACCAACAGTCTGCACACAGATAAGCCAGATCTGTAAAAATGGATGTGCATGTAAAACTCAAGTCTGGAACAAGTCAAAGTCTAGAAGTAGACTAGCAACCAGAACTTTCTGCTGGTATTTACCGCCAGTGAACCCGACGAAGAAGAAGAAGAAGGTATGCTTCAGGCGTTGAAATAAGGTCCTTTACAGTACCTAATAGAGCAATAACTGTAATTGTTTCTTGGACAAACCATTTGTTGTGATTTCCACAGATTGCTGCAGTGTGTGATTTTTATGCTTACCTTCGGTACATTGTACAGGGCCTGGTCAAGTGTTCAGGTAGGTCTCTGTGGGTCAGTTCTTTGTAAAACCTCAAATGGGGCCCTGGAACCCTCATGAACAGGCAGGCAAGTGATTATTAGGTAGATAGCTAGCAAGCTCACTAGTTACGTTAGTGGATTCTTAGTTCTGTAGATCGATGCTGATTGGTAGTTTGGTGATTGTGCTGATGAAACTTCTTGTTGGCTCAACGGACAAGAAGGCGATTACCAGCCGGCTGTGTGGAGAGCTTCGAGCAAGGCAGGGTGTATAAGACGATTTGGTCATCTACTGCACCTAGATCCATTTCCAGTTGGCATTGTCCTGCCATTGGATCAAGATGGACACAGGCGAGAGAGTGAGGTCAACAAATTGCGTAACTCTTCCTCACTTAAATCCAAGACCTTTCATCCAGTTATTATCCTCATCAATTTTTTTTCAAGTCCTTTGGCAATGGGCGAGCGACGAGGCGACAGATATGGATTACGTTGGAACCTTTTTTTTTTTCCTTTTTTTTTCCCAAGGTTTGGTAGATAAATTGATAAGTCACATTTCGTCATCAGCTGACCCAGTTTCTAAATTAAATTATTTAACATCTGAATTACAACGTAATTTTTTTTGTTTACAGGAGAGGTATGCAGAGATGTGTGAATATATTGTTTTTGACACATGTAATAGTTCAGCAGATGACATTTTGTGAATTGTTGGAAATTGTTTCACAGATGATTAGATTATAAATGGTTTCATAGACTTCAGGATTATAAGTAGTTTTAGGTATTTAATTGTTTATAAATAGTTTCCTAGATTTAAAGTGTATAAATGATTTCATAGTTTTAATTATTATAAGCACTTTTACAGATATAAAGTTTATAAATAGTGTCACAGATGTGATTTTCTGCAGACGTCCTTTTCTACACAAGATAAATGTTCTATAGATGTAAGGTATCGGAATATTTGGTCATGTAACACATAATGTCAGGAATATTTCCATTTGCTTACAGAGAAAGACATGTTTGTGGAACTGATCAGAATCAGGATCCAAATGGCACAGGCTCGGCTTGGCCTTATATGAGAGATGTCCCAGAGTTCCTTGTGACAAGATGCGGATGGCTGGGGCTCGGCGGGAGCATACAATTTAGAGAGATCAAAAAGTTCATCTCTTCAGGGTGTGGAGAACAAGTTTTACAACAGTGAAACACTACCACAAGAATATTATCAAATGTCTACTCATCTTTTATTGTTTGTTGTCCTACTTAAAATATGTTGTTTTTTTCTGTAGTATTATTTGGTACAAGTATTTTCAAACTGTGGCCTTACCATAAGGAGCTTCTCCTAGCTATCCAAAATATTTCTGGCAAAGATTGAACAAGATCTAATTTATTTATTAATACATTTACAAGTGACCTTATAATGGATATTTAAGTATTATTCATAGACAAGCAAATGTTGGTGTGATGCTAAAATGTTGGAAATTTTAAACTGTCAGCCTGATAAATTTAGTTGTCATAAACCCTTCAGGACATTGCAGACCACCGCCAGTATTTGTTGGCGGTTTGTAGTTTTGTGGTTGCAGTAGTTCTGCCAGTTTTTGTCTTTGCTGTTATACTGTTGTCAAAATCACTGCAATGATGTCTGCTGTGGGGAATATATACATGTAGTTCTCTGAGTGCCCGCCAACACATATCAATTTTATAAATAATAGATATGTCTGAATTGTATAATGTCTGTCCTTACATGTGTCTGTCTACATTGCTTTATGTCAGTTGCAGTAAAAAGTAAAGCATTTTAAACCGCTGTATAGGGTCTGTTATTGTGAGATACTGACATTAAGAAGACATGTTGAAAAACGCCTACAGCAGCAAGAATTGTTGTTTTGAGAAAAATGCAAACAATATGATGGAATTATAGAGCAAACCAGGCCATCCACCTTGAGAGAGGCGACAATAGTAAACTAATTAGATACATTTGACATAGAGTTTTTTGGACATGTTGTAAGAAGCAGTTAACTTGAGAGCTTGGTAACTGAGGGAAAGATTGAAGGAAAATGAGCAAGAGAAAGGCAAATAGATGAGTGAGGAACACATAGTTGTATCTATTTGTGTATTGTTGTGTTTCTCATGGTTTGTCTAGAGGAAACAGTTTATGCACTTCTGATTTGTTGAGTTTTATGATTTATTGGAGGAAAAATGTTTAATGCATTTTATTTTGTGGTTTCAATTTTTGATTGATGAAAAAAGTTGTATTTACCTCTGTTCTTGTGCATTTGTAATGTTTCACTAAACAAATACAGACTTTTTTTTACTGTTGTTAATTTTTGTTTTACAGAGAGTGATTGTATTTGTATTTTGTCTATATTTTTGTGTTACTATTTCACAAACCAAAAAGAAAAAAGTTGTTTATCTTTATTGTTACATTTCTTTGTTTCAAAGATAGAAACAGATTTATCTATGTACGATAAATGTCATAATAACATTTTTTGGGGACAAGTACAAAAGTTTAAGTTTTTAGCAGTGGATCTCACTCATCAGATGGAAGAAGTACCACAGAAATAAGGAACAGGACAGGCAAACGCTATCTTTTTGTAAAATAAAGAATATCTTACACATTAAATCTCTTTCATTGGAGGTAAAGAATTCTTGCAGGCTGTATAGAGCCAGTTTTAACATATAGTTTTAAATCCTGGTCTTTTAATAAACAAGCCAAACAATTTATTTAGGCCTCAAATGTGTGGTTTTACACAAAAATTCTTTAATTTCCTTGGAGAGCCAAAATAAGTAACACAGATGTTTAGAAAAACGTGAGGGCCTGAAGACAACAACACAGGCATCAGAAGCAGAGTTTTCATTCTTTGGCCGTGTTATGAGAAGGGAGAAACTGGAACATGTTGTGAGTACTAGAGGATTGGGGGGAGGGGGGGGGGGGGGGTAGGAGAGATAGATGAAAACAATGCAAGAATATTCTTGACAGCCTTTCTGTCATGGCGGGATGGCAACACACCAGTTGTTACAGGCTGTTGGAGATCTCAGGTTGTGGACAGGCATTGATTGTCGACCAGCCCAGTTGGACTGACATTAGATGAGACGAGTCATGTCATTATTGTTTCACAGAAGAAAACACATCATGCATCTGTAATGTTATATTTATGTTGTTTTACTAACAGAAATAGTTGTATTTATCTTTATAATATTGTTTTTGTTTCACTATACTTTTTCTTACCATTCACCGGCTGTTAACTCTGGCAGAAAGATCTGGTTGTTTGTCCACTTCTGGACTTTGATCTTGTTCCTGAATGCCAGTTTTGCATGCACAACCCTTTTACTTCTTCATCAACATGATCACCAGCTGTGTCTGCAGTGCAAACTTCTGGTTGTCCGTCCACCTATCGACTTTCAGTTTACAGATCTGACTTATTTGTATGCAGATCGTTGGTTCATTGCCTCTGAGTCAGATGCATTCCAACTTTGAAGGATACCCCCAGTTAGTCGACTGTTACAACATGCTTGTTAGAGAGGCAGTGTATCTATTCATGTTTTCTCCACAATGGGAGCCCAGAACAAACACAAGGAAACCATTTTACAGACCTGACTTATCTGTATGCAGACTGTTGGTTCCTCTCCTTTCAGGTGGATGTACTCTGACTTCATATGAAATACCCCTAATTTGTCACCTCTGATGATATGCTTGCAAGAGATGCAGTGAGTCTGTCTTTTCTCCCCAAAATGGGGCCTCGGAACTCACAAAGCAAATCTGACTGAGTACACACAGTTGTATTCATTTGACTGTATAATATCATGTTGCTGTTGTTTCACTAAATGTATTTATCTGTGTTGTAGTCTCAGACAGAAATAGTTGTATTTATCTTGATAATGGTATGTTGGTATTGTTTCATTGATAGAAACCAGTTGTATTTATTTGTTCATTGGTTTCACAACAAGGTATATTTATTTATTCAGAGAAGCTACACTGTTGTACACAACTGATTCTGTGTCAAACTTGCAGCAATACTCAGTAAGCCAGTATGCATCAAATAATTAATATATGTATGTTTTTGTTATAAATCATGAACAATCAGCAGATTACACCAGTGGCCAAAAGTTTAAGACCACAAGCGAATAATTGATATCTCCATACTATTATCTTCTTCTTCTTCTTTGCATTCACTGGCTGTAAACTCCGGCGGAAAGTTCTGGTTGTTTGTCCACCTCTGGACTTTAGTCTTGTTCCAGAACCTGAATGTTTACTGCACATTTGTTTAACTGATCTGACATTTGTATGCAGTGTTGGTTCCTTGGCTCTCAGGCAGATACACTCCGAAGGAAGCCCTCAGTTAGTTGACTCATACAGCATGCTTGTTAGGGAGGCAGTGGGTCTGTTCTTGTTTTCCCCACAATGGGGTCCCAGAACCCACACGGGGACATACTGTTATGAAGTGTTGCATCAACTGTCCACACTCAACACTCAGAGTCAAGGCCAGACAGACATAGTCAGATCACTGCTGGTAACAAAGACATTATAACAGCTCTGAACTTGTAAGGCTTGAAGCATAAAACATGAAATCTTGAACATAATAAATGTAAGTGCTCAAAGACTTTCAACATTGACTTAACTGTCTTCTTCATCGCCTCTCATACGGATGCACTGACTTCAAAGGACACACCCCTGATTAGTCGACTTTTACAGCATGTTTGTCAGAAGGCAGTTGTTTATTCTTTTTATCTCAAACCATGGGGACACGGGACCCACACTGAGACCCCAGGACCCTAACTGGGAGTCCGCCCTAACTATTACCATGGATATTTTTAATGACCTGTTGGAATATGAATTTCACACATATGCTTTTGACACATTGTAAATGGACATCAGTTCTAACTAAATATGCACCGGGGTAAAAATGTCAAAATTGCACTCAGGTGAGTTTGGTTAGTGCTAATGAATTATAGCAATGCTTTCATGGGGATCAGGTGGGGTATTATTGTTGTTGTTGTGTCAACAAATTATTACATCTACATTATGTTGATATT